AAATTCTGCCATACATTTAAGGAAGTAATAATCCCAATTCTACAGAAACTCTTCCAGAAAATTAAAGAGGAAGGAATATTTATCAGCTCCTGCTGAGATCATCTCTACCCTGATACCAAAACCAGAGAAAGTACTTAGAAGAAAGACAAAGCTACTGACCAGTCTCCTTCCTACACAGAGATGTAAAAGTTCTTAACCAGGGGCTGGCCCCGTGGCCGAGTGGTTAAGTTCGCAAGCTCCGCTGCAGGCGGCCCAGTGTTTCGTTGGTTCGAATCCTGGGCGCGGACATGGCACTGCTCATCAGACCACGCTGAGGCGGCGTCCCACATGCCACAACTGGAAGAACCCACAACGAAGAATACACAACTATGTACCGGGGGGCTTTGGGGAGAAAAAGGAAAAAATAAAATCTTTAAAAAAAAAAAAAGTTCTTAACCAAATTTTATCAAATCAAATCCAACAATATCTAAAAAGGAATAATAGGTCATGACCATGTGGGGTTATCCAGGATGGTTTACCATTCAAGGCAGTGTAATTCATTAATAGTTTAAGAAGGGAAAACCATATGATTATTTCAATAGATGAAGACAAAATCCAGCATCCACTCCTGTTGGAAACTCTTGGTAAACTAGGAATGGAAGAGAACTTTCTCTACTTGATTGAGGATTATTATGAAAACCTAACACCCAACATCGTATTTAATGGTGAAAGACTGTGCTTTCCTCCTAAGATTAGGAACCGGGCAGGGATGTCTGCTCAGGATCACTTCTATTCAACATTGTGCTGGAGCTTCTAGTCACTTCATTAAGGCAAAAAAAAGAAATGAAAGGCATCCATATTAGAAAGGAGGAAGTAAAGCCGTCATTATTCACAGATGACATGATTATGTAGACAATCCGATGGAATCTGTAAAAACACTATTAGAAGTAATAAGCTGAGCTTAGCAAGGTTATAGGATACAAGATCAATATACTAAAATCAATTGTGTTATTAGCAATATACAGTTAGAAACAAAAAAAATTAATAATCACTTCAAAAATATGAAACGCGATACATTTGATAGATGTTTAAGACTTTTGCATTGAAAACTCAAAAACATGACTGAGAGGAACTTTTAAAAATCCTGAATAAATGGAGAAATATACTGTGTTCATGGATTAGAAAACTCAATATTAAGATGCCATGTTGCCTTAAAATGATGTCTAGATTCCATCCCAATCAAAATCTCAGCAGGCTTTTTCTTTTTCCCCTTCAGGTTAATGTAAAACTTATTTCTAAAGTTTAGAAGTAAGTTATTCTAACTTATCCTGAAATTTATAAGGAAAGTCAAAAGACCTGTAGCCCAAATAACTCACAAAAAGAAGGAAAAATGTTGGAGGAATTACACTATCTGATTTCATGTCTTACTACTATAAAGCTACACCAATCAAGTTAGCGTGTGTGGTATTGATATAGAAGTTGACATAGATATTAGTCGAAAACAGTCCAGAAATAGACCTAGACATATGTGTTCCATTGATTTTTGGCCAAGGCATTTTTGGGGGAAGAGGTGATCTTTCCAAAAATGATGCTGGAACAATTAGATGCAAATAAATGAACCTCAACTCTTGCCTCCTACCGTATAAAAAAATAACTCAAAATTGGTCAAGACCCAAATGTGAAAGCTGGAACTAGAAAACTTCTGAAAGAAAACATAGGAGAAAATCTTAGAGACTTTTATTTTGGTAAAATTTTCTTAAATACAGCACAATGAGCACCAACCATAAAAGAAAAAAATTAGTAGGACTTCATTAAAATTAAAAACTTTTGCTTTTCAAAATATACTGTTAAGAAAATAAAAAGGCAAACTATAGACTTGGGGAAAATATTGTACAACATATATCCAACAAGGGACTTGATTCTTAAATAATGACTTCAAAAACCCAAACTCTTACAACTCAATAATAAGACATACAACCCAATTAAAAAGTGGGCAAAAGATTTGAACAGATACTTCACCAAGGAAGATATATGGATGGCAAATAAACACATTCAATGAGACTCGTCATCACTAGCTTTTGGTGAAATGCAAATTAAAACCATAATGAGAGCAAAATACGCTCACTAAAATGGCTAAACTTGAAAAGTTTTATTAATTAAAACCCAAATTTTGGCTGGGATGTGGAGGAACTGGAACTCTTGTATGTTTCTAGTGGGAATGTGAAAAGGTACCACTTTGAAAGATGGTTTGGCAATTTCTTGGAGAGTTAAATACACGCACACTGTCCAATCCAGCTGTTCCACTTCTAGGTGAAAGTGTGTCCACGTATGCGTGCTCATAGCCTGATTTGTAGTAGTGCAAAATGGGAAACGACCTTTTTCATTAGGAGGTGTTCGTTGTTTTTCTCTTCCTCTTCAAGCATTTTTATTTGTATTTCCACTAAAGCTCTCATCTCACCATAACACGTTTAATGTCTGATCCAGCTGCTTTAGTCCTGCCCTTCTCAGTGCTGCATAGTGCGAGTCAGGAGCGCTGGATTCCAGTCCCAGCTCTTGACGCTGGGCTCACCGATTGCCTTCTTGGGACTTCAGTGTTCTTAACTGCTGACGGAAGGGGTTAAATTATATGTATTCATTCATGAATATTTCTGAGTCCCCGCCATGTGCTAGGCACTCTTTCAGGTATTGGCAACACAATGAAGAAAATAGGCTGTGGTCCCTGCCCTCATGGAACCAGTATTTATTAATCTATTATGTGCCAGACACTGTCCTAGGCTTTGGGAAGACAAGCTATAGTGTCTTAATCTCAAGAAATTTATGAATTGGTAGGGAAGAGAGACCAGAATCAATAGAGAAAACTATAATTGTAAAAAATGCTATGAAGGAAACAGTATGGGGGGAGACCTCGTTTAGCAGGGCCGTCAGGGGAGACCTCTCTGCAGAGGGGACACTTGAGCTGAGATCTAAAGGAAGAGAGAGAACAGGGGCTCTTGTTGGTCTCTGTCATCATCTCTTCTCTCAGAAGTCTAGCTTGAACCTAAGACAGTGATTTGATTTCTTCGACTGTAGGCATCTCTAAATGATAGCAGCTTCATGGAGCCATCTTCACCTCACGCCTCTCTTCAGGGGCTTTCCTTGTCTGGTTTAGGAAATATAAATAGCAATAAGTTAAACGGATTTAATTCTCCTTTCTGATGTTTAATTAATACTTTTTTGGCCCATCTTTCATAAGTGAATGAGAAACAAAAAGGATCAAATGAACGTGCCTCTGGTAAGCCTAAGCCAGAGGTTTCACTTGGGGTTTGGGCTGGCAGATCTGGACTCCAGAGAGGTTTCCTTTGGCGTGTGATGTTTTAAAAGTCAGAAAATTTCACCAAACCCCCAGACTTTTCAGCATTTACATTTAAATCTTTAGGTGACCAATTAGAACTGAACGGCAGCAGCCCCTTTAATGGGGTGCATACTCTCAGATCTCACAGCCCCCTCCCATTTGACCTGCCTCACTCACTCACTTATGTCACCTGGCTGGCCCCCCGTGAATTGTTTGTCTGAGCATCATCTCAGGAGGTTTTTGTTTTGTGTTTAAACATTTATGCCTGGCACGAGTCTGCTGCGAGCCTGATCTACTGGTACTGGGCTGGGTGATTCTAATGTGCAGCAGGTGAGAACCACACTCTAAGACCTCAGCCCTGGCTGTGAACACACCTTGTTACAGTATTCACGCGGGAGCACGCACGAGCGTGCGCTGTCAAGAGTGGGGCCTTGTCCTGGTACCTTCTTATTTACCCTGTCCCTGGATAGTAGGCACTTGAAATGCTTGTAACATAAATGAATAAGTTATATTTTAATTTTGGTGTATATTTGACTTCTAAAAAACAAATGTATTTAAAAAAACACGTTTCCTCGTTCAGCTGTGTGGGTTTCTTCCCCCTGAATTCAATAGATAACACAGTCGTGTGGTTTTAAAATCAAAATATAAGGAGGAATACAGTGAAAAGTCTCCCTCCTACTTCGGCTCTCTGTCTGACCAGGGCACCCTGCTTCCTCCCATGAAAGTATAAGCAAATGCAAACATAGGTTCTTGTTTTTCCCCCTTTTTACTCAAAAGGTAGCTTACTAAAAACAATGTTCTGCTTTCTGCCTTCTTTACCCTTGACAAGTCTTAAAGATCTTATCGTATTAGTAGAGAGATTCCTCCTCCTCTTTTTGGTTGTTTTACAGTTGAAAAATATGTTTCCTTGTTTGGGCATATTATAGTTTATTTAACAAGTACCCCCGCTGAAGGACATTTGGGGTTTTCTAAGCATTTGCTATTGCAAGTAATTTTACAGGTAGTACCCTTGTACATATGGCCTTTCACACATACACACAAGAGTGTGCAAGGTATATCTCTATGATAAATTCTCCAAGAGGAATTGTTAGGTCAAAGGGTATATGTAATTTTGATATATATTACCAAATTGCCCTCTGTAAGGCTTCTGGCATCAGATATTATTAATTAAAACTAATACTGGTATTTGGAACACTGTTTTAAAGAGAATATTTACTCTGATTTTGTTTTGTTTTCTTTGCTGAGTTAGAGTAGTCACATTGTAGGTTATCTGAATTTTGGTAAGAGTGATAAGATGGTTCTAGATCATTGGTTTCCACTACTGACCCAAACACCCTCAAAGGGTTCTCAGGTTCATATGCTAAACGAACAACAGCTGTGTAGAAAAGAGTGTCTCACACATGTGTGCTCTGTTTCAAGTGTATATAGATGCTAATGTATTTAATAAAATGCCGAATCATTTAATAGTGTTCCTGAATTCTTGGTTGAGCTCATAGCAGCTCCACATCTTATCAGCGGTTCCGTTGTTTTAGATGTCCCTTGGATTTTGATGGCATGTTAGCTGCATTTTGTGTCTCATCAGTTTTGTCAAAGCAGCTTAGTCTGCAGGTATAACAGAACCAAAAGACTATGCATATACTACGAGTGTCTATTTGAATATTTTGTAATAAAAATAACCTTTCTCTTATAGATATCCCTTTAAGGACCAGCCTGCCACCACCATTCAGAAATTATAAATATGGTAACCAATTTTTCTTATTCTTTTAAGACATATATTAATATAATTTCACATTAGTTTTATGTTGATATGAATTTAAATTTGGTTTTCAAAATGAGTTTACTATCTGTAAATAAAATCCAATATGGAAGTTTATGTAGAAATATAGGAATTGCAGTCTATCGTTAAAGTAAATTGTAATAGTGTAGATAAGTGGCCTATTTGTGAGGAACAGCATATTTGGCAAACTGTGTCTAAAATGAATTTCTTTGCCAGGTAATCAGAAAAGGAGAAATGATTAAAGACTAGGAATTGAAAGAAGAGATTTAACATTTTAAATGCCAGTAACTTGAGCACATTATATAGTAATTTTATATGTTGCAATTGTTGATTTTAAAATGTACTAACAAGGGGGCTGGCCCCGTGGCCGAGTGGTTAAGTTTGTGCTCTCCGCTGCAGGCGGCCCAGTGTTTCGTTGGTTCGAATCCTGGGCGCGGACATGGCACCGTTCATCAGACCACGCTGAGGTGGCGTCCCACATGCCACAACTGGAAGGACCCACAACTAAAATATACAACTATATACCGGGGGGCTTTGGGGAGAAAAAGGAAATAAAATAAAATGTACTTAACAAGGCAAGAAGCTAGGTTTCATTATTTGTTATAAAGATGGTATAGTTACTAACCTTCAGCATAGTGACACTCAGCAAACTGAGACTTCCCTTCAGTATTATCATGCACTTAACAAATATTTCTGTTAATTGGTGCAGACATTTTAAGGTATAAATTTTTTATTACCTTACCGTAGATCGTCTTTTGGAGTGGCTTTTAATTCTGTTCCCGTTTGGTAGAGCAACTTATGACCTGAAATACTTTGAAATCACAGTCTTCCCCGTGTGTATGCATTTTAATATCCAGAGCCTAATTGTGAGGTCATCAGGGGTAGTCAAGCAGAAGCTGAAGGCGCTGAGTGAAAAGTACTTTGATTTATTGGACTTAAAGAATTTACATACTAAATATTGAATAAGAGAAAGGAATTAAAAGCATGATTAAGTAAATATGAAACTTCTCAATTTTGGCTTTATGGCTTTCAAAGTATAATGACTTGAAACAGAACCTTAAACTTGAATCAACCTACAGATGCCATTTCCAATTAAAATAGTTACAAATGGTTTCCCTTTTGGCATGGTGTGTTTGTGTATTCAAACTTATGTTCCTTGTAAGCTATTTTGAAAGATAAGTTTTAGATCGTGAAAGCACCAGAATATCTGACTGCTAATCGTCTTGGCAGTAATGTACCTTTTATATTATTCCACCTTATTAACACCTTTTTCTCCTAGTATTTCTATACTATTCAGATGAATTGACAGAAAAAATGAATACATTTATCTGTGAAGAAATTCGAGAACCAGTGGGTTTGGACTTCAAGTGACTCTGTGTTTGGCTCTTTAATAATCTTCTGCTTTGTGTTCAACAAGAAAGGCTGAGGTGTTTTGTCCTTTGGTAGTGGTCCCTGCTCTGTGGGAACACAGCACACGACTGTTGTGGGGTGGGAAGGGTACCAAGTCAAAATTCAGTTTTGCTAGTTGCTGTCTCTGTGCCCTGGGGTAGCTGGCTGGCTCTCTTGGGCAGGCCACCTGGAGTCTGAGATTTCTCAGAGCCCCTCCTCGCAGTTAATTGGTGTCTACATCTATTACTGATTTACTCTGACCAGACTGTGTGGGAGGCTGTCTTATTTTTAAATCCTTATCACCTGTGCGTTGTGCGTGTGTTGTGTGGTTCGAGGCTCTTAATCCTATTCATTTCATAAGGCTGTGTGAGATTAGATTAAACAATGCATGTGTGAACACATTAAACACTACACCAATGTAAGAGATATTTTTATTTTTATGAGGTTACTTTCCTCAAGGAATTTTCATTAAGGAAACAATACCCACAGATGTTGTTTCTGTTAATAATGAAGTTTTTTTTAAAGAAGTAAAAACAAGTGAAAGAGATTATTGAACAAAGAAAGGGACGTTAATACCACACCTTTTGCTAGCTTATCATTTGGCTAGCTTATCATTTCTCTTTTCTTACCCTCTTCCCAGTTTCTGTTGGAGAGAAAAATCGGGTGAAAATTTCTGTTCAAAGCATTTCTTCTTCTGCCAAAAAATGTGCCCATCTTATTGTGGGGTTGCAGAACCTTTTAGAGCAAAGGTATTTCTAATTTCAAGACTCATTAGCAATATATATAGAACAGGATTAACATTTGGTAGGGTCAAACTACATTTTGCAGGTTGACTCTAACAGACTTTAAGCAAAGTCTTTTTGTTAAAAAACACCCTACTATTGGCTTCTCTAACTTGTCTCCAATCATAAACTAGTATCTATTTATAATGAGAAAATGAATGTAAAGGTCAGTCGGAATGATAGGTAATACAAAAGTCACTTTTGTTTATTTTCTTGTGTACATTGTAAGCTTATTTTTAGTAGTAATTGTAGCATATTTATGTTCCTAACATGCCTATTTCACTTAGGTTAGATTTATTTTTATTTCTTAACAATGCATAGTTATAGTCCTAGGATTAGGCTGACCTTACTTAAAAATTACAGTGGATGATGGAAAGTTGACTATCTAAAATAATGGGTAATTCAGAGTGCTGGTTTTTAACTGGGATAGGTGCCCTGTTCTTCTGTATTGTTAGAGCATCGTTGAATCAAGGTCTGTTGTTTAAATAGATCCTTTCATTTCGTTTCACTCTTAGAATTCCTCACTGAAGCTAACGGCATGATTGATAGAAATGAATTTTAGTTGAAGGTTAAGAGTTTATTCAGATATAATAATACATGTAGTCATAATATGTTAATTAAATGATTAAGTAAAACTGAGTGAAGATTTGGAAGCTTTCTGAATTTCAACCTGTTGAATGTTCTATTATGTAACTAAGACCTGATTGTTGCAGAGTTAGAATTTTACCCAACGTGGAGAAATTACTGACCAGAAAAGCACAGTTAGCCTGACTTCAAGATAAACAGATTGAGGAGTGAAGGAGGGACTGACTAGTAACGCAGATCAGACGGTGTGAGCTGGTGCACTATTTGAAAACCAGCAGGCAGATTTGGGGATTCTTGCCCAGATTACCAGTGATCCTTGATAGTGTTTGAATTCTGAGAGTAGTAACAACTTGTCATTTTGATCATTTGATCTCCTGTCACTGTAACTATTTTGAGAAATTAGTAGAGTTTTGAACTGCTTTTGTTAATATCTGCCTGAATTTAAGACATTTAAAAAAAATTTTTTTTTAATTTTTTCCTTTTTCTCCCCAAAGCCCCCCGGTACATAGTTGTATATTCTTCGTTGTGGGTCCTTCTAGTTGTGGCATGTGGGACGCTGCCTCAGCGTGGTCTGATGAGCAGTGCCATGTCCGCGCCCAGGATTCGAACCAATGAAACACTGGGCCGCCTGCAGCGGAGCTTGCGAACTTAACCACTCGGCCACGGGGCCAGCCCCTAAGACATTTTTTACATTATTTGCTAATCACAGCCTGTGGGAACTCCAAAAGACAGGGCAGTGTAATGTGGTTCACTTGTCTTCTGTTCTGAGGGGAAATGTGCTGAGTTGACTTCAGGTTATGGCACCTACACAATTGTGTGTCAGAGACGAAGGCTTTAAATATCTTTATACAGTTATCTTTAATTTTAATGGTATGCAAAAGTAGTTTTTCTTTTACTGTATACTAGATTTCTAAGTGAACCTGGTCATAAGGCAAGGACTTAAATTTCTCAATTTCATAGCCACGCCCCCATCTCACTAATCATTTGAAATGAAGTTTTAGAATAATCTTTGTAAAAAGACATCTTGTTTTTTTCTTTCAGATAAACTAAAGATTATTCATCAAGCACATAAATCAAAGGTATGTTTCATATGTACAGTATCTGGAACATAGCAAGTAATCAATCTTGGTTGACTTAGTGAATAAATGAATAAACACATGTACTTCTAAAGTATTTTCCATTATAATAGCATTTTTTATTTCGTAGGTACCCTTTCTACAGCCTTCTTTTTCCATTAAAGAAAAAATTTTGAGTCATATCTGTTAGTAATAGATCCTTTAATAAAGTGTTAATTTTAAAAAAAGCATACATGTTATATATCAAACAAATATTTAACATAAAATAAACATAAAACTTGTGAAGTACATTCAGGTTACATGTAAAGGAAGCCACTTGTTACCTGGCAATCCAATCTCTTTGATTTTCTTAATTCTGTACCAGAAGAAAAGAGCCAAAAGCAAATAAAAAAAATCTTCTTATTCTGGCTGGACTCTTTGTGTGTGTAACAGAAGGCCCAGCACTGTGGCTCTTGGTAAGAAACCTCCTAGTTCCACAGAGGGCATGGCCTGCAATTCTAATGTTGTCTTGTCCCAAAGAGAACTGTTTGTTTATGTGTTTATCATGTGTTTACATTTCTGTCTTCTTGCTTTCTGAGAGTAATGTTTTTGTGAAGCCACAATCAAAGGTCAGCTTCTCAGACAGACATGCTAGAGTGGTCTTTTCTTCTTGAATCTCAGTGATCTTGTATAGACTCCTCATTAAAGCAGTAATCTTACTCTATTATACAAACTACTCAAGGACAAGGGACCGTATCTTAGTCTTCCTGTCTCCAATACCTAGCACAATGCCTCATTCATAGGGATGTTTCCATACAATTTTTGAATGAAGTGTTTATTTATGAATTCACTTAATTTCATTCTCTTCTCTAGTCATAGATGCCCTCCATAAACTCAATCAGCTTTCAAATAAATGTATACCAGGGATTACAAGAAACAGGCGTGAGGGTATGTCTGTTGACTGTGAATTAGTAACTTAAAAAAATTGGTTTTTTCCTGTAGCTTGAAACAGCCCATGTTTATTCTCTTATAGTTCTGGAGCCCAGAATTCCAAAATCAGTTTCACTGGGCTGAAATTGAGGCGTTGGCAAGGCTGGTTCTTCCCAGTAACTTCATTGTTTTATACCAAGGATTGTATATACAAATTTGACAATGTCCATCGTCAGATGCCTTACATTTAGTGCTCACGTGTGTCTGAGGCTGTGGTGTGGAGTCTGCACTTCGTGTGGATGCTAGAGGTCCCTCCACTGTATCTGACCAGACTCCATCCACTTTGTCTTCTGCGGACCAGAAGTGTTTACAACCTTGTCTCTAAACTGTGGGGAATAAGAAGCTTGGTCTTATTGAAGAGGGGGGAAAATGTATATAAATATAAAATAAAGCTAAAATGAAACAATGTGCTCTTTGACAAGGTTGTCAAATAGAGTGTGTCTGTCATTCTCAATTCATTGTTGCATTTTTACATTGTTGGGCTTGTTCATATGCTCATGTTTCCTAAAAGGAATAATTAGTAGATTATTTATCCTAATGAAGATCTAGTTCATAATATTCAAATAATCAATTTTATGACATTTTTAAAAATCAGTAAGTTTTCGTCCTATAGTTGGAAATATATTAGAATTGTTTCTTATATTTAAAACACGTTCCATCCTGGTATGTTAGAGTTATAAAATTAGGGCTTATTTTTCCAGTTGAACAATGTATTTATTTAAGGAGGGGTTCCAAAAACAAATTAAGTCACTTAGAATGTTTCTGGAATCTGCCTTATAAACTTTTATCTAACCATAACAATTCTGGTTAAGTACAGACTAGGTATCTTGGGAATGATTCTTCAAGTTTCCTCTTCAACTTTTATAAAGAAAAGGATCAATGTATTTTTACTGATACAATTTTAAAACTTCAGAAAAACTTCACCTACATGTGCCCATTTGCGCCTTGTCCAGCTCTCACATATTTTTCTACTTTCGCCATCTGCATTCTGTTCCCTGTGTACAGGGCCTATAAGCATCACTGGCCTAGCCTGTCAGTTTTCCAATCCAGCTGTAATTTTAATCTCCTTCCTCAGCCAAAGAGAGAGACTTCCAAATAAATCCTGTGTCTTAAAGAACTTGTTCACAAAAGGCATTTTCCCCATTTCCCCAATTTTCTAGGTTTACAGACTTTCTTAATTACAATTACCAGGTGTCTACAGAAATTTCTTCCCGTCATCACGATAAAAAGGCTGTCTGGATACCTTCCCACCAGAGCCTCCTGTTTAGACTATGAGCCCAGTGTTTGTTGAATGAATGGATCAACAGTATAGGGCAAATAATTACCATAATATGATTTATGGTTATCAAGAAAATGTATTTGTATGTATATTGTAGATTGTAATCAGTAGGCTATTTGTAAAGTCAGAATAATTCCTATTAAAATGATTTGAAATAAAAACTCTAATTTCTATCTGCTATTTCATGAGTTTGGAAACCAGATAGCTATACTTGTTAAAAGTTTATGAAAGGAAAAAATCATACCCTGGAATAACCTTAGAAGAAATGTGCAGTATCTTTAAGAAGAAAATTTTGAAATGCTAGTGAAGATATTCAGTTGTCCAGACTCATCAAATGAACTACTCTTAAGATCTGTGCATTTTATTTGTGTGAAATTCTACCTCAATTAGACAAAAAATAAAACGTGAATGAAGGACTTAAAAATGGAAATGCTTAGGATATTTTGGATGGGAACATGCAGCAGCATGAAAATGTCAGTTCTCTTTTAGGTAATTTGCAAATTTAACGCTACCTCAATAAAAGAATAACCAGAGTTGCGTATATACATATGAATATAAACTAAAGAAAGTTGGTTATAAAACTAATATGCAAAAAATAAATAATGAAGAATAGTTGGGAAAAAGAAGAGAATGAGAGTGACTAGTCCTAGCATCTATTAGACATACTATAAAACTTTAGTAATTAAAAATAGTGTGGTACTGTCATGTGAACTGTTAGTTCAGTGGCACAGAATTAAAAGTCCAAACATAGACCCAAATATATATGGGAATTTAGTGTGTAGTAAATATGGCATTTCAACTCTATGGAGAAAATATGGAGGATTCAATAAATGGTATTGGGACAACTGGTGGACATCTGGAAAACAGTTAACTTGAATCCATATCCTTTTCTTTATGCCGAAATAAATACCCATTGGATTAGTGACTTAAATGTGAAAATGAAACCTATAGGTGAGGAAAGAGATGAAAGAGATTGAATGTGAGTGGATAGTTTGTTCAGGCCGGGTGATGGTGACATGGAGGGTTCCTTATACTCTTCTGTATACATTGTATGTTTGCGATTCCCATAATTCAAAGTTTAAAAAAATGAAACTAATAAAAATATTTGAAGAAAATATGGAATTTTAGAAGTAATCATAGAGTGAAGGCTTTTTTAAGTATGATAGAAAACCCAGAAACCATAAAAGATTGATACATTTTACTTTGTTAATTTATCCAACAAACATTCAGCACCTTCTAATAAGAAAACACTCTAAGAAAAATCAAAGAACAAATGAAAACTGGAGGAAAATTTTCTAACATATTATAGAAAAGGCCTAGTTTTCTTAGTATATAATGATACTCTACAATTCTATTTTAAAAAGGAACCTACAAGTCCATTAAAAAACAAAGTATTCACAACTTTACTCATAATAAAATGAATACAAATTAAGAATACACTTAACCTATATCTATTAGGTTGGCAAAGATCAGAAGGTGTTTTTTTTTTTTTAAAGCTTCAGTGCATGATCGTGTATCCTACTTGTTAGTTTTTAGTTCTCTATGTGAGCCGCCACCGCCACAGTATGACGACTGAGAGATGGGTGGTGTGGTTCCATTACTGGGAAGCGAACCTGGGCTGTGGTGGTGAGAGCCCTGAACCTTAACCACTAGAGCACCGGGGCCGGCTCCGAAAGTGTTAATGATACACCGTGTCAGCGAGGGTGTGGGAAACAGGTACTCTCAGTGATTGGTAGCATTAGCCTAAATTGGAACCACTTCTCTGCAAAGTAATTTGGCAAGAATTGTCAAAATACAAGTCACGTGTGCTTTCTGACCCACCAATTCTACTTCCAGGAATTTATCTTACAGATAAAACTTGTATCTATGCAAAATGATATACGTACAAGGATATCAGTTACAGGATTGTTTATGATAGCAAGAGATTGGAAACGACCTAAATGTCTATCCACAGGGACTGAGAGAGAGGGAGGGAGGGCGGGAGGGAGAGAAGGGGAGAGAGAGAGTGTGTGTGTGTCCTTTCAATGGAACATGCTGCAGCTGTCGTAAATTATGAAGCAGCTCTTATACTAATTTTGAATGATTTTAAGAGAAAGAAGATGTTAGAACACAGCAGATAATATGCTGCTGTTTCTGTGAAAAAGTCTACGTGCACATCTTTGCCTGCGTGTCCACGTACAGAGGTGGTCTCTGGAAGGAGACACAAGAATCAGTGCAAGTTCTCTGGAGGAGAACTAGGGAACTGGTGGATAGGGGTGGGAGGAGACTTCTCTCCCTCCCTCCATATGTACTTGGAGAATTTTGTATCATGAGTATGTATTACCTATTCTAAAATGAGTTTTTTTCCCTTTTAATCTGTGTGCTCTGGAGCTCAAGCCCCTGTGCTCTCCACGGGGTGAAGTTGTGACCCGTGGAGCGTGGCTTCTGGGCCGTCTGTTTTGGCCCAGAGAGGCCTTTCTGCTGCCTCTTCCTCTCAGCCACATTCTAGCTAACCAGTTGTGTTCTGGTTGATAAGTGGTACTGTGTGCCCAACTAGTGGTCACCTCCATGGGCTGTTTAGGGGCAGATATCATCTCAGAATTCTCTCCTGTAGTTATAATGTTTAACTGGATTTGTAGATATCGTTGGAGAGCAAACTCATCCACCCCCAACCCTGAGAAATGTTACGGTTAATATGATCAGTGCTTATTAGATGGGCAAGGTTTTCAGAGATGTGGACTTTGGCCATTGATGTAAACTTGCTTCTCTTGGAAGTCAGACTGGCAGAGCTTGGACCTCAGTCCCGTGGCTGACCAGCCGTGTACTCTGGGCCTATATATTAACCTCTCTGATGTCTCCTGGAATGTTGTGAGAATGAGATGAGATGATGATGCTGGTGAGGACGACAACAACAGACCAGTGACAACTAATGTGGAGAATGCTTGCTACGCGACTCACGCTGTGCTGTGGGTCTTACATGCTTCATCTCATGTCATCCTCGCCACAAGGCACTAGAGAAGATGCATTCTTTCCCCCCTTTTTCACAGCGGAGGAAAGTGAGTCTAAGAAAGGCTGTGTGTTTGTTGAGAACACACAGTTGGCATTGGTGGAGCCTGGATTTTCACCCAGATCGAGCTCCAAAGCTCTGAGCTGTAGCCCTGTCTCCCCAGTGCCTTACATAGTGCGTGCACCTAGTAGGTACTCTGTCCACTTTGCTCCTTACAGTAATGGGAGTAGAATGTGACTCAGATTATTGCTCTGACCCACAGTAACAATTCTGTCTTTGAGAAATCTTGCCAAAGATGAAATACCTGTAAGTACTGATAAACTGCAGATTTTCTTTCTTTCTAGACTAATGAACTTGTGTTGAGTTTGGAAGACGACGACAGACTCCTGTTGAAAGAAGACGGCACTCTGCAAGCAGCTGGAATCGGTGAGAAAGAGCGCCGGGCGGTGCTGGAGGGGGCTCTTGCCTTCCCGGGCTGTGTGGGGACACCTGGCTGATTATATTTGGATAACTCACTGCAGAGTAAATGCTACCCTTGGCACTCTTTACACCTCCTGATAATTATTCCGAGGACGAGGACGAGAATGATGCACATTCAGATCATTTGACTGAGGGCAGTGGATATCTGCTCTCCAAATGCTCGCAATGCAAATAGTTCTTCTAAGAAGGTGTGCTCAGAATTCTGCTGAGGGTTATTTTAAGTGATTGACAGGTTATTACTCACTTAATAACCTACTTACTCTTATCAGCATCATTTGAACTGATGGTTTGAGAGAAACGGACCTGGTAGAACTAATGTGGAATAATGTAGTGAGATGTTGTTTGGCTAACACGCAGCGTGCTATCTGATAGTCATCCAAATCACTCAGGGCCGACCCAGTCATGGAATTTCAAATAGGAGCCTAGTGTGTGCGGTTGAGAATTTGCCCGATTTAGCCTTTCAACCTGGAATATACATGTAATAGTTCTGTTTTAAAGAAGTGCTTTGTGACACATTTTGTGACCATTAGATGTCACTCTAATTCTACTTATATGTGCACCTAAAGATGATCTGGCAAGAGGAGTGAAGATTTTAAGAGAAGTATGAGCAGGTGAAGGCATTATGCCTCTGACATATGTTTGGGGTCAGTGACTCTAATGAAATCACACAAGCACATTTATAATTATTTGTATGCACTGGTTAAGAAGCACTCTAAGTGAGGTCCGTATTCGAAAGGCTTCAATTTTTTGGACAGGTGTTCTGTTGCGTTATTTTAGTCCCATATGTCAGGAATTCACTTTTGAATGACACATGAGGCTTAAAGTGTTTCTGACATATCTTCCAATTTAAATAGGATTTTAAATAACACGTTATGAAATCTTAGACTTTGTTTTCTGTGTTTGTCTACACCATTTGCTAGATTTGGTGTCTTTCCATATTATGAATACATAAGATTGATTGCTATTATTTGAAAAAACAGTTGTTATTGTGGCACTTATTTCTTCAGATGCTATTATATTATTATAGCAGGTGGCACCTGTGTTACTGAGGCAAGTGGCAACTGGAAGCTAGCCCTGCTTGTTGTTGAAGCATAAAAATATAATGAATGTAACAGACTGGTATTGATTGTAGGAATTGACAGACAGCTCCATGGGAAAGACCAGAAAATCCAAAAACAAACTAAAAAAGTAAGATTTTGCAGTATAATAAAGTTTTGACATCTCAAATAAGTGGGAAAAGTATGAGTTAGCCAGAAAATGATGTCAGGTCCATTGCCAAAGCATGCAGGAAAATAAAATTCAAATTCTTATCGCAATTTTTTTTTTTTTTTTTTTTTAAAGATTTTATTTTTTCCTTTTTCTCCCCAAAGCCCCCCGGTACATAGTTGTGTGTTCTTCGTTGTGGGTTCTTCTAGTTGTGGCATGTGGGACGCTGCCTCAGCGTGGTCTGATGAGCAGTGCCGTGTCCGCGCCCAGGATTCGAACCAACGAAACACTGGGCCGCCTGCAGCGGAGCGCGCGAACTTAACCACTCGGCCACGGGGCCAGCCCCTCTTATCGCAATTTTTATTCTAAAATAAATTCTAGTTGGATTAAATGTCATAATGGAAAAAATTTTTTAAAAAACGTTGCTCAACTGTTTCATAATCTTGGGGAAGAGAAGAGCTCGCTAAGCATGACCTTGAAGGCAGAGCCATCAAGTGGGGAGGAGTGATAGATCTGACCACATAAAAACTAAAAAATTGTGAACAGAGTTAAAGGAGAAGCAATGAACTATGAAAAACAATTGCAGCATATATGACAAGTAAAAAGTTATTAGCCTGACATTATAAAGAGCTCTTATAATCAGTGTGAAAAAGATAAACAAGAAATTCTACCGGTAGAAGAAATAGGTAACATATGAAAAATAGTTCAACCTTATTAGAATGAGAGAATGCATATGAAAATAGAAGCTATTTTATGTCGTATATTAGTCTGGTGGTTAAGAGTTAGAGACTGGGGGCCGGCCCCGTGGCATAGTGGTTAAAGTCCAGCGTGCTCTGCTTTGGCAGCCTGGATTCGCGGGTTCAGATCCCAGGTGCAGACCTACACCACTTGTCAGACGTGCTGTGGTGGCGACCCACATACAAAATAGAGGAGGGTTGGCATAGATGTTAGCTCAGAGCTAAGCTTCCTCAAGCAATAAAAAAAAAAAAGAGGAAGATTGGGAACAGATGTTAGCTCAGGGCCAATCTTCCTCAGCAAAAAAAGAATTAGAGACTGGAGTCAGAGAGCTTGAGTTCACAGCCTGATTCTGCCACTTACTCTCTGGGTGACCTTGGACAAGCAGTAATTATAAGACTAGCAGACATGCAGAGAAGTGGTTTGCACCCAAGGCAGTGTTGGGAGATGGGTACTCTCTTGTACTACTGTGGGAATGTTTGTGATCTCTAACTTTCTGTAGGTCAGTTTGACCAGTAAGACTTTCACAAACTTAACTTTCTGTCATGTCTATTACCAACCAACAGGAGTGTGCTTCCCCAAGCTCTGTGACTCCCCTGAGGTTGTGATATGCCTCAGAGGGGTGGCGGGGTCTCTCTCGCCTTCTCTGTCTGGGAATCACTGATGTAGAGCTTTATCTATCGAATGGAAATAGAATATATTCTGTGAAGTAGGTTTTAACCATTTAAACCATTATTGTTTAAAATGTACATATTTACATGTCTGTATGTGCATATGGAGAAAAGATCATATACCGAAATTACAGTAATGGTTTCTCTGGGTGGTGGCATTGCCAGCAATTGATTTTTCCTTTCTCCTCCATATTATGTAATTGCTTTTGTAATTTAAATTATAGAGTTTACATGTATCACTTGTAAATTAAGGAACCAATTTTAAAGAATGAACTTCTAAAGTTGGAGAAAATTGAATGAAGGCTCTACATTTTACTTGCTTCATGACCTTCTGTAAGCCGTTTATCCTCTCTGAACTTATATTTTGATTTCTGTAAAACAAAACAAATAATTAAGCCTGTTTTGGAGGGTTGTCGGAAAGGCTGAGTAAAAGAATGGATATGGAGGGGGCTGGCCCCATGGCTGAGTGGTTAAGTTTGCGTGCTCTGCTGCAGGCAGCCCAGTGTTTCGTTGGTTCGAGTCCTGGGCGCAGACATGGCACAGCTCATCAAACCACGCTGAGGCAGTGTCCCACATGCCACAACTAGAAGGACCCACAATGAAGAATATACAACTATGTACCGGGGGGCTTTGGGGAGAAAAAGGAAAAAAATAAAATCTTGGGGCTGGCCCCGTGGCCGAGTGGTTAAGTTCGCACGCTCCGCTGCAGGCGGCCCAGTGTTTCGTTGGTTCGAATCCTGGGCGCGGACATGGCACTGCTCATCAAACCACGCTGAGGCAGCGTCCCACATGCCACAACTAGAAGAACCCACAACAAAGAATATACAACTATGTAATGGGGGGCTTTGGGGAGAAAAAGGAAAAATAAAATCTTTAAAAAAAAAATAAATAAAATAATGGATATGGAGGCATCTGGAGCAATGCATGTAAAAACCTCAAAGATACTTCTTTCATTTGGAAACCATTTGGAGAAGGCAATGGGCAGCTGTTTGAATTTAATTAAATAATGAGTTGGTTTAATTGTCATTAATTTCGGACTTATGTAATGACCACCTATAAAGGTGAGAATCCAATCCCTCTTTTGTTGTCCTTGTTTTAAGGCCAGAGGTCTTGGGTCAGAATCAGAGCCTTTTCACGGGTTCTCCACGAGAACTTCAAACTGCCCCTGGCCTTGGCAAGCCCGCAGCCCTGGCCAAGGGCCGCTTCAGTCCCTGCCAGGAGCGATGTCCTCTCCTGCATGTGCCTTGTTGTTCCCTAGAGCAATGTTGGCCGTACCCTGGAGAACAAGCCACAGTTACACGCGGGGAAGGAGGTCGTGGTCCTTGGAGAGCAACAAAAAATTCTAAGTGGGAGCAGAGTTGTGAAAAATGATACTTGAAGTGTGCGATTTTTCTAGAGAATTTTCCCTCCCTTCGTGCTGTGTCTGGTTAGGTTTTTTAAGAGAAAAATTCTAAGTCATCACTCTCTCCCTTTTTATCACTTGATCTTGCTGTAGAGTTGTCACTCTGCTGTCACAGCCGGTTGCCATGGGAATAATGCCAATGTAACAAATTTATCATTATGACTTTTCTGCAAAATTCATGAAAGGAAAAGAAAGATTGTGAGGGGGGAAATTAGGTGAACGAACTTGTTTGAAGATTTCTTTTCTCGCAGAGCAATTCTCTGGTTCCTTCCCTGACCTCTTATCTGCATTGCAGATCCCAATTGTGTATTCTCCGCCTGACAAGGGGGAAGTTTTTGCTTGCGGACTTGCTGCTAAAACACATAAGTCAAAAGATTTGGTTTGTGGAGGGAAGAAGCAGGCTTTACCTAGAATTTTTATTTATGATTTAAAGATTCTTACCTTGTTATTAACAATTGTAGTTTTATGGACTAATTCCCCTAAGTAATAAATTGGCATGTAAGGTTTTTGGCGATACTTTCTGTCTTTCATTTTGCTACATTCTACTACTATTATCTTTTGAATCCTCTCTGGTTTAGGAGAGAAATTGTGGCAGGGGAACTCTTCTAAAGCCAGCTGTGTTTTGTTGGAAATATTTTAAAATAAGATAGAGGGGCCAAACTGTAAATGCTTATCTGAGGGAAGAGTTCGCGTCTAGCCAGGTGCTGTAATAAGTCCAAAACTCCTTTGTGGTTTGTTTTCATTTTGTGCGTCACTCCTGTCGTCTGTCCAGGACTAGAACTCTGCCTCTGTGCCCAGCACCTTTTGGTTATCTCGGATGGACAGCTAATATTGGAGGCTTCTCCGGCTCTCACTTCTTTATCAGGATCGTGTTTGATTTGTGTTTGCTTGAAGTTCGGGTCACCTTCCCATTCTTTTTGTGGGTAGTAATATCTTAGGGCACACATGCTCTCCTCCTTTGACGGCATGTTAAGGTGGCTGTCCTTCACCTTAACACAGAAACAGCCATAGTCTGGTCCTCGGTGAAGCAGGGAATTTGGAAGTCCAGAGCAAGGGGTCAGAATGAACCTCCCCTAGATTGCTCCTCCCTTTTCACCCTCCCCTCGCTGTGGTTGGAAATCACAGTGTCCATCCTGTCAAAGGTCAGATTTATTTCACTGTTTGTTTTCTTCACACTGGAGTTTGAAATCTCTGCCAACTGATCTAAAACAGACGTTTGAAGCAAATATGAAATAAACAGCACAGAAGTTGGGGCTCTTCACTGGATTGTTGACCTCCTTTGGCAAAAACTCAGAAACAGAGCTCAGCTGTGAGCACAGTTTTGAATGATTTGTGGATTAGGATTCTGTGAAACTTGAAGGGATAGGATACACTCCTGGACCAGGAGAGAGGGTGAAACATTGTCCTTTTGGTCTCAAATTGCTGCAGAAGCCACACCTTGACCTGCCCGTATTTTTTTTTTTTTAAAGGAAGATTAGCCCTGAGCCAACTGCTGCCAGTCCTCCTATTTTTGCTGAGGAAGATTGGCCCTGAGCTAACCTCTGTGCCCATCTTCCTCCACTTTATATGTGGGATGCCTACCACAGCATGGCTTGCCAAGCGGTGTCATGTCCATACCCGGGATCCCGGCGAACCCCGGGCCTCCGAAGCGGAACGTACACACTTAACTGCTACACCACTGGGCTGGCCCCTACCTGCCCGTACTTTTATTGGCAATAACCTGCGATTATCATCACATACAGCCTACCCTGGTCATTCATTACCTGTACCACAAAGTCAGCACACAGGTCTCATCTCCTTTCTCAGACGACAGTTGCTGGACCGTACACTACTTTCGTGCTGAGTAGTATGAGACTAGGGACTCAGAAACTATGCAGTAAATCTTTGTCCATAGGTGAGTTTACTGAGATAAGTTCATGGAGGAGTTAGTTAATTTAATTACACTTAATTTTTCTTAAGATTTTACATTTAATTTTTTTCTTATATTCTTTTACTTAAAGTCATTATTATTAATTTCCTGTTGAAGGTGTGTGTGTGTGTATGACCCATTTGGAAACATTATAAAATTATTAATTACATATCCAGAGTTCGAATGTCTGGCTTGTGTTCATTTCATTAAACTTGTAAGGCAGTATTAAAATGATCCACAGATGTATTTGGAGGGCTCTTACTTGATTTCATTTGACAGTAAGACAAAGGGATGAACTGGCAATGTATTTATTGGATTTTAGATTGCACATTCATTTCAGATTCGCATGCCAAGGCACTGTGCACCTGAGTGCACGGCCGCCTGCAGCACATTTAATTTAAAATCAGGTGCCCTAGGGGACCGGCACACGGTAGACTTCCTGAGGGTTCTTCCGGAGCCATTTTAAATAGAATTGGGGAAGCAAGAAGTGAAGGGATAATGATGGAAAGAATGATTATGTAGAGGTCTTGAAAATCTTTCATAATTCGTTTTCACTTTAATTGGCAAGTAAATTTGCAGTGTAAGGACATGAAATCATTCTCTCCAACATTTTCAACAGAGTCTTACAGACTTTAAAATCATCGTCTTCTATTTCTGTTTGAGGACCACAGTACTGAAGTTTAAAATCCATTTTATGTCTTTAAGTGCTCAGGATGACTTTTAATTTATATGTTGTTTTCCAATTTGTTAAGGGTGAAAAATTTTATCAACCCGGCGTATTTGAGTCTAACCCATTTGTCAATCTAGTTTTCTTGAAAAAATGCATTTGTCTGAAAATAAAATCTTTACCTTAGATGATCTCCTTTTGAGCCTGTATAATGAGAGATGGCATAAATACTTTACATAAATAATGGATTGATCGATCAGTTAATTAGACCCAAGAGAACCTATGTGACTGACAAAGCGTTTTTGTTTTGACCTTTCTTTACATCAGCTTATTCTGAACCTATTATTACCGTACTGAAGAGCTGTATGATGTATTAGTTTCTCAAAAGGGGTGCAGATAAATGTCAATGCAGTAAGTGGACATTCTAATTACAGTTCGCCTGTATGAAGCCAACTGCCGTGTGGGCAAAGCATCCTGTGAAGGTCTGTATGTAAATAGCACATCTGCAGACAACCCGGCATCGTGATTATTAAGAACAGTGCTTTTGCTGCTTCTCCATTAGGAGGATGATTAGAGTCACTTGCAAATTATATAGGTCTACCTTAGGGCTTGCTTCCCTTCAGAAAAGGAGCTTTTTATATAGAGATCTCAAAATATCTCCTCTTTGAATATTGAATTTTTTGTAGCCCCCTTTGCAGCATTTTATTGACTCCAAGTGTGGAGCCTCTTAGCCGTTCTTTTAAATGCTATTTTCTTGTAAAATTTAACCGTCCGTTAACTTACCGTTTGCCCGGGGTGCATGTGCTTACAGCCCCCCCTCACTGATGCCTAGTTCCTCCTGCTGTGTCTCGCCCCTCCACCCCCAGGCTCACTGTGACAGGAGTTTGCAGTCTGATTTTCATCAAGGTAATCCTCATTTAATCTTAAAGATGTAGTAGGACTGGAATGAGGATCTGAGACCATGGGTGATTTTATTTTCTTCTTTCAACATTTCTGTATTTTCTCTAATGAGCACGGGTAACTTTTGATTGAGAAACATTAAATTTGGTATTCTTCAAACCAGCAAAAGCATTTTTAATGAAATGTCACGCTGAGCTCTTTCATTCTTTTGTGATAAATTCCAGTGATGAGATGAGCGTTGTAGACCAAGAGACCGGTGGTAATTCTTGGCATCCTCCCTTATCCTATTTATTTGGCTTGAAGAATTTTGCTTGTCTGTTTTTAGAGGATATGTTAATTGAGTGATCAGTATTCATTACAAATAATCTTGTCTGTTTTCTTGTCGAGATTCTGCAGGCCCTTTTGCTCTTTCTGTAAAAGCTAAGCAGACTGTATTAACTTCTGGTTTAATTTAAAAAACGAATGTGCAACTTGTTGGCGCAACACCTTAAAGAATTGCATGTTTAATAATTGGAAGGCTTTCCATCAGATTTGTCTCCAGTCTGAATTAATAATGTTGCTGACTTATTGTTTTAGAAGACGGAGTCCTTGACCTGCTAGGTTGAAAGCATTGTGACTGCTCTGAACCTTTGTGGGTCCTGTAGCTGTGCCATGTCCCCTGTGAATAATTAGAGGTATTTGAAGGTATTGCGGTGGAAGCCAATTTGTGTCTTTCGCTTTGCATATTGTTGAAGCCTCATGAATTAATCATAAGCAGGCAAAAAATTAACTTCTTCAGACACATATTTTGATGGGTCATGAGGGAGAATGTAAAGTGATCTGTAAAATATTCTACTGATCCTCTAAGTATTAAATTATTATACCTACAGGCTAATTTCAGAGAAGAAAAGAGTTTTTCCTCCTCCTTCAGTAACTGAGTAGCAAATTTGAAAAAAATACAGGTTTGTTATTTTCTAGGATTGTTAGGAAGAGTGTACATGAGCAATTTTATGATTTCCTGAAAACCAGATTCTTGTGTTAATTCTTGTTTTTAATTTCTTTCGCTATTTTTCTTTTCACTTTTAAGTTATTTGAATTCTAGATTCTTATAACGACAACTTATGCTTCTTGTTGATTTGGTGAAATGTGAAACCAGACAAATGACTCATCTTTCTCACTTTAGGCGTCTAAAGCACTGAATCAAATATGGACTTCCATACTTGCTTAAAAGCTAGTTTTACATTAAAATTTTTTTCCCCTTTCTGCTTTTCTTTTTTTCAGCCAATGAAACTGAAATTGCATTCTTCTGTGAAGAAGATTATAAGAACTTCAAAGCTAATCCCGTTTCATCCTGGTGAAAACCTCACGAGGCTTCCTTTTTGCATACCTATATTAAGCTCTTTATTCCACTAGTGAGTTTTTGAAATTGACAAATAAACCTAAAAAATTAATCCCAGACTCTGCTATTTGAGCTAAAATCTGTGGTGTTTTTTCTCTCTGCAGGGGTCATTTTTTCTTTCTTTCTTATTGTAAAATAAGATACTTATTAGAAGAACATTTGATGTTTTTTAAATGAAAGAAAGTTACTCAAAAATCATCATGGAATATTGGTTCTTTAGTCATAATTTGTTTTCCTGAGATTAAGGGTTACTTTGATGGCTTGTATATTGGGTTCTTTAAAAAGAAGATAAGACTAAGGTCATTCTGTTTATTCTGTATTTTTTCCATAGTTTCTAATTAGAGCCACTGTTACTCTCTTCAGCTAGCAGAGATCTTAAGGGTCTCTTATGACCATCAGTGCCATCTTTTCGCTCACAGTGATACACACCACTATACGTGAAATTGAATTGTGTATATTTTAGGGAAGTTTTCTGATGTAAGAGGGTTTCTTCTTTTCATATTTCAGCCTACACAAATAACATTGCTGAAATGTCTTTGTCTGAGCTGTGTTTCCTGACCTCAGGAGCAAACTATAATAGAACCAAACTCATTTATTTGGAGAGAGAAGGTAGCAAGATGTTTGCTCTTCTGGAACAAAATTGTTCATTGAGACCAAATCTAAGACATGGAAGATACATTGTTTCAAAATAATGTAATACTTCTGGTTCCTAATAATGGCTGACTATCAGTGCTGAAGAGTAGTAGTTTCAGAGGGTTCTCTCAGCCAGCGTGTACCTAATCCGAATTCCTAGAGGGGTTAATTTGCTCTAGAATTACTCCATGAACCCTTAAAATTGCCAGTAGGGCAAAATGGTTTCAATATGGTAAAGGTTAACTTAAGAAAACTCATTCTTTTTAAAAAATCAACTTTCACAGTCTAGTTAACATAATCCGAAGATACTCTGCTTTGTTGAAAGATTTAATAGAGGCTTATTAAAAACAAATTTTATTTTATTCCTTGTATCATTCATTAAACAAAGTGCTGAATGCACAAATGACCCAGGAGTTAATAAAGAATAAAATAAGACACACTTTTTGCCTCAGTGAGTAGCGAAAGATATATAAGCAAGTAATTTTAATATAATAGCAGTGACAACTGCTACGGTGGAGGCATTGATGATGGGGTAATTAATTCTGTGTGGGATTAATTTTTATTTTAAAAGTCCCAGTTGCACTTTGTCTTAAAAGATTGCATAGGAGTTTCTGCTTAGTAGAAAATAAAGGAAAGGCTTTTAGGAAGAGGCAATAGCAGATGTAAAGGCAAAGTACTGTGAAAAAGCCAAAGGTTTTCAATAGAAAGTACAAGTATCAATGTCCTGGAGGGTAACGCACTTGGAATGGAGTGGAGGAAGATAAGGCCAGAAGGGAGGTTGAGCTGGGCCTTACAAGTCGTGCTAAGGAGTTGGAACTTTAGCGGGTAGTGGGAGCCAGTGGAAAGATTTGAGTCTGGTAAATGACATGGTTAGATTTGTATCTCAGAAAACGAGCTTGGCAGCAGTGTCCAGACGGCAGAAAGACCAGAAGACGCTCGTCACAGACCAGGCGAAGACTGGAAGGCCTGAGCTAGGGCACAGCAGAGGAGAGCAGACCTTGGGACAGTGGTACCATTTGGTCATGCAGTAGATGGCAAGCACTGTGTTAGGTACCTTACATATATTATCTCATTTCGTTTTTATGGCGGCTCTTCAGTCTTGATTGTATCATATCTATTTATAGATGAGGAAATTGGGGCCCAGAGAGGTAAAGTAATTTACTCAAGGCAATGCAGTAATGTGCAATGTGATTGGAGCGGGGTCTGTCTTAAAATCCTGACCCATTCCGTCCTCTGGCCTCCCAGTAGAGGAGTGAGGTGGAAGGACCAGTAGGAGTTTTGGAACTTGGTGAATGGCCGGGTGTGGACGGTGGAGGAGAAGGCGGTGTGGAGACTTCAGTGATTCTGGCTGGAGTGAGTGACTGGACGGATGGCGACAGCATTAAGTCAAATAAGGAATTTAATAAGTAGAAGAACAGGTTAAAGCATATTCCATCTGTTCATTTTGCAGACATTCAATTTACACACTTTTTTAAGTAAAATTAAGCATATGTACCTGTAAATTTTCTTTTCAATAAATAATGCAAAAACATATATGTATAATCCTTTATTTGGTGTATTTATTTTCTGTATTAGAAAGTTACATATAGGCTTTCCCCCCCCTTACAAACAGATGTAAAAATCAAAAATAGAAATATATTATGACTAAAAAGGACTTTTACCAGGCATAGATGATTGGTTCAAAACTATAGAAAACATAGTGTAATTCACAAAATCTGTGGATTAAAGGAGAAAGAAATTATGCTTGTCAATAGGTACCAAAAAGCATTTGATGATATACAACTCTATGCATGAATAAAAGCTAGGAATAGAACAGAATGCTCTTAACTTGTTGAAGGTTGCCTACAGAAAACCCACTTAATGGAGAAGTGTTTAAGCAAACCTGTTAGATATAAAAAGGACAAGGATGACCACTATTCCCAGTACTATTCAGAATTGTTATGCAGGTCATATTGTAGCCAATACAATAAGAAAAGGAATAAGAACCACAGATATTGGAAAGAAAGAGGCAAAACATTCGTTTGCAGACAATATGAATGTAAGAGAATCAACTGACAAGTTACAAAAACTAATAAGACTTTAGGAGTGCTTGATAATGAGTCTAAAATGAAATGTGCACAAAAGCAATAAAATGTTACTAGAGGATATGAAAGACCTAAGTAGAGAGAGAGAGAGAGATTACATGTTCAAAGATGGAAGTTTTGGTAAATTTCAGATGTAGGTTTTTACCTAATCTGTAATTTAGTGCAACCTTAATCAAAATCCCAAAGGATTTATATTGGAATTTGACAAATTGATTTTAAGATTCATTTGGAAAAGTAAATGTGCAAGAATAGCCAAGATCAATTTGGAAAAACAGTGGGGGAGATTGCCTACCAGGTATCAAAATGCATTTTAAAGCTGTAGTAATTAACACAACTTGGTAGTGATACAGACATAGACCAAAAAAAATCAGTAGACTAGAATACAGTATAGAAAATGACTAATGTATACGGAAACTTAGTATATAAGAAAGGTAGTATTTGCAATCAGTGGAGAAAAGAAGGATGTTTAGCAGCTGGCTAGGCATTACAAAAATGATTAAGGGCCCTATTTCCTACATTCACTAAAATTTCATATGAATTATATAAACATGAAAAACAAGATGATGAGCTTATTAGAAAAAAATATAGATTATATTTATGACCTTGGGGTGGAGAAGCCCTTCTTAAAACACAAAATGCAAATGCCATAATTTACTAAATTTGGCATATCTATGTGAAAAACTGCATTCCAAAAAAAAAATCATAAAGGTTGAAAGACAAAGACTGGGAGAAACTACTTGCACTTATAAAGTAGACAAAGGATTAGTTTCCAGAATATATGAAGAACTCTTCCAGGTCATTGAGAAAAGGACAAACGTACAACAGAAAAATGGATATATTTTATACAGAAGAAATTCATAAAAAAGGAAACATATGACTTATGTGAAAAGCTGCACATCCTCTTATTCAAGGAAATTAACACAACAGGGTACTGTTTGCATTCTTCAAGTTGGCAAAAAGTAAAGGGTTTTGTAATAAGTATTGGCATGTATGCCTACGCTGCCAATGGGAGTATACATTCGTGTACTTAGGCAAGTAGTCTGGTGTGGTATCTATTAAAATAACAAATGTGCATATTGTATTGACCCAGTTCCACTTCTTTGCATGTGTCCCAAAGAAACCCTCTCCTGCCTGCAGAAGGAGGCGTTTATAAGGGGATTCACTGCAGTGTTACTTATAATAGAAAAACACTGTAAACCACCTAAGTGATGTCAGTAGGAGATTAGCTAAATAAAGTGTGGTATATCTGTATTCTGGATTACTGCTTCATCTAATACAATGAGGGGCATCCATATTATTTACTGACATGGGACGGTCTTTGGGACGTCTTGATAGGATGAAATTGCAGAGGGACTCATAAACTGTGAGGTCATTTATTTTTTAAAAAAGCACAAAATGATAATATAGTGTGTATGTATGTTTACATGAATGTACACATCATATACATGTATATGTACATATACACGAAAGAATATACACCGAATCGATAGCATTGATTACTCTGGGGAGGGGACTAGGATTAGAAGGTGAAGGTGGTAAAAAGCCTTATCTGTAATATTTAACTTAACTAGGAGAAAATTAGTAAAAACTAATGCATGTGTAGAAATTAAAAGAAGCAGGAAAAAAACCCAGCAGGCAATTGGCATTAACATTTTGGCATATTCCATCTGGGTTATTTTTTCTACATTTTTTAATGTTTCTGATCTTTTTGGTGTGTTTTAAGTTATACAAGTAATATTTGCCTGTTAAAAACGACCAACTTGAAGGTAGGAAAGTAAAAATCCCCTTCTTCAAGGGTGACTCCTTTGCATAGCTTAGGGTTCATATTTTCAGTGTTTTTTCTTTTTTTCTGTGAATATATCATTATTTAAACAGGCATTTTAAAGCATTATCACTTGCTGTATTTTGAAACTTTACCATTCTCTTAAATATGGTCGAGAAGTCTCATTTTCTTTTTGAATGGGCACTATGTGCCAGATGCTGCCTGTGCTTGATATAGTATCTCATTTAAGTCCCTGAGTTGGATAGAGATGTGAATAGCCCCACGTACATTAAATGGAGAAGATAATGCCCACCTCACAGAGTTTTGGGGATCTAGTGAGACATGCCTGCAGGGCACTTGGTAGACAGGGCCCAGCCTGAAGCAAGTGCTCATTAAATGTCTTGTGATGCTTATTATGAGCAGCGCAGCAGCAGCAGCGACTTCATTTGGGAAGCGAGAACCCTGACACTCTCAGATACTAAGCCTCTTGCCCAAGGCCTAAAATTTGAGAAGCCAAAGGGCAGGTTTCTTCTGGCTTCACGTCACATGTTCTGCCACTCCTGAAAACAAGGGTATCAGG